TGAGGCAGACAGGAGCGACCTGTTCTAAACCCATGTTGCCCTGGGTTGTGTAACTGATGGGTTTCTAGATGGGTGGTGATCTTGCTTCTTAGGACCCTTTCAAAGATTTTTATGATATGGGATGTTAGTGCTATTGGTCTGTAGTTCTTTGCTGTTGCTTTACTGCCCCCTTTGTGGAGTGGGGCTATGTCTGTTGTTTTTAGTAACTGTGGGACGACCCCCGTGTCCATGCTCCCTCTCCATAGGATGGAAAAGGCTCATGATAGGGGCTTCTTGCAGTTCTTGATGAACACAGAGTTCCATGGGGAAGTGGAACAGAATTCTTCCTCCGTAAGCCATGCGTGTCGTAAGAGGCGACTAAAATGCCGGGAGCAAGGTGCTAGTAACCCCTTCTCCTTGTATATATTACTAAATTTGAAAGGAGAAACTTTCGTTTTTCCTTTTGGGCCACCCCACCTCGGTGGGATACGGCTGGTAACGTTGAAAGAATAATATATATATATATATATATATATATAATATATATATATATATATATATAATATATATATATAATATATAATTATATATTATATATATATATATATATATATATATATATATATATATATATATATATATATATAATATATATATATATATATATATATATATATATATATATATATATAAATATATATATATATATATATATATAATATTTTATATATATATATATATATATATATATATATATATATATGTGTGTGTACATCACAAGAAAAAATAATGATAGATTTTCCCGAACCTTAACTGAGTATTTTGCATTATTCTTACAGCTTGAGATAAAGAAAAGTGCCATATATACAAATTCATGTATGTTAAAGATGAACCGTGACTGTTAGCTCTCAGTCAAAAAAAAAAAAAAAACGCCTAACTAGTGGAACAGAAATTGTGATCCAAAAAATACACGTCTTTTTCAAATAATCATTTGAATCTGTACCTTATTTGCCTCCTTTGTTAATAATGACTCACTTCCAGGGCGTCGAATTCCAGGTACCGAAGGTTATTGCAGGCAGGAGGATCACTGTGCTATATAAGGTCCGGGACACCCTCCCTCACCATCACTCTGGTTCCGATCATCAACCACACAACCTCTGTAAACATGGTAAGTGACTGATGGAGTTTTGTGAAGTGACTGTATTACTATACTAAATGTATGATATAATTATATTACAAGAATATTAACAGCGCTAATTTTTTCAGCGTATCCTGGCTGTGACTGTGGTGTTGGCCGTGATGGCTGGTGTTTGTTATGGTGGACTAATTGGTGGCCTTGGTGGCTACGGTGGACATGGTGGGCTTGGAGGCCTTGGTGGCCATGGCGGATATGGTGGCTACGGTGGCCTAGGTGGACACAGTGGATATGGTGGTTTAGGAGGTCTTGGAGGTTTGGGTGGTCTTGGTGGCTTGGGCGGTCTGGGAGGATTTGGCGGTGGATTTGGCAAAGGATATGGAGGAGGAGCAGGAGGATATGGATCAGGATTTGGAGGAGGATATGGAGGCGGATATGGTAAGCAAAAAATCTGTTAGCAATTTGTATCAATACATAGTAATATTTCAGTATATAGTTATCTTGAGGAAGTAGCCACATTGTAAAGCTGGTTTTATATTTGCACAGGTGGACAAGGAGGACACACCTTCGTGCTGAGTAAGAGCCACGGTAAGACAACAACATTTGTATTTTTCTTGTTTAGATCTATTACAACAACATTCTTTGTAAACATTAACATCAAAGATGTTTCACCAGTCGTTCTTATGAATCATTTGTATGTTTGCAGGAAGTGAAGGAGGATATGGTGACCTGGGCGGATTCGGTAAATTTGGAAAAGGAGGATATAATGGATTTGGTCTGGGTGGACAAGGTGGATTTGGAAAGCTTGGTTAGTATATTTTTGAGTTTCGTTTAATGTTTTATTAGCAATAATAAGAAAAAAGAAGTGAACTAATACGTAATCATTTTGAAGCATATATTTTATATTTTCAGGTTTTGGCAAATAGAGCGTCTGATGTTACTGTCCTGACGAAACTCACTTCCGTCTTCAGTACCTCTTATATTTTCTTTAATAAAATAACTGAAAGAAGTTTATGACTTTTTACTGTAGACCATTATATAAAGGGATTACATTTTTTATTTATACATACAGAAATAATAATTTTTGGCAGTATTTACGCCTGAAAGTGAAAGAAAACTTTCTCTATATTGCTGTACATTTCATATCTTTCTCTACAAGACTAATTTTATATTAAATTTTCTTAACCCCGAGAAAAGCCTTATTTTCCCAATTAGTGTTACATGAAAATCATAATGTTCATGCGAATAAGTATATGGTAAAAGAAAGCTGTAGAAACAGCAGTTTTTGGGAAAGATTTTATTAGAAAATATGTTCACGTTATTCTTCCATTTAACCTTTAGGACATAAATATCTGCTTGGCAAGCGAATAACATTTCTCCTTCTTTCATGTGATGAATATACCAAATAGGAGAGTCCTTTGGGGACGTACCACAAAATCACGAGGTTGTCAATCAATGGGATGTTTCATAATTCTCAAATCAGACCAGATTCCAGTATTTTTGGGAATACCGCACTGACTTGGAAAACCCCAAGGTTTTCTCTTTCGACAGACTCGGGGAACACAAAAGTAGTGTTGGGCTTGCAGCCCCAAAATAATGTTTTTTTTCGTCTGTCAGAGACATATCATCCTTTACAATTTTCAGTTGAATCTTAGTCGTGGTTTTGTCTCTGTAATGCCTTCTTTTCCCTTTAATTATTAAAGCTCCAAATTTTCAGAACCCCCCGTGATTTAAACCCTGATTCCTTTTTCTCCCCCCTTTTCCCCCTTTCCTCCTTTTTTCCCCTTTTGGATTTTCTTTCTTCTGCCTTGGGTGTTTGGTCCATTATTATATTTTCCCCTTCTGTTTTTGTTCCTACCCTTTGTGGGCCCCAGCTCCCTTGCAGTGCTCCTCTCTTTTAGTCTTTGATTGACTCCACTACTTCTACCACTACTACTACTACTACTTCTGCCTCTCTTCCTTTCCTACTACCTCTCTTGTCACGTCCCTGTCTGCTGGCCTATATATACTCCCTCCTTCTCTCCTTTCTGTTAGTGTGACTTTGTAAATGATCTAAGTCGGATTGAAACGTCGTCATAAGCTTCCATTACCTATGTGCGGGTTATATGTGTATGCAGGGAATTTACTTATACCTTTCTTTATTTTTTAAGGGATACTTTTCTCCACTCAAAGATCACTAACAATGGAAAAAACCCCATTATCCTATCCCTTTTTTCCCCAAGACAGCTGTATCTCGATATTTCATTGGTGGAAAAAATTGACCCTAAAAGACATCTAGAGTAAAATAGGTATGGGTGTTAGTCGAATTTTAGGAAGGCTACCAGGGGATATTCGCCAACTTTTTGAAGCTAATACCGCACATGATTTAAAAAGAAAATTTTTTTGTCTTTCGATGACTTAAACAGAGAAAAAAACCAATTCGTGTGGGCCTATATGTTTAAATTAAATAATTTTTTTGATGGCAAGTATCCACATGTTTGGACAAATATTCTTAGAAATAGGAATGTTTTTTCGCTGCCAAGCCATTTAAAGAGAGCACCCAAAATTTTTATTAGGGGGAATAAAAAAAAACAAAATAAAATTTAAATTTATTGTCATCTTTTTTAAGGGCTTTAAATTAAGTTTTGTATTCTTTATTTACTTTATTTAAATAAATTCCCTCCGAAATTCTGGTTAAGACCTTTTAAAACGCAAAACTATAGGGTATAACAATCAAAATGGGATTTTTTCTTGTGGTAGGACCCCATTTTTTTGTTAACCACGCACTGATTTTTTGCGACATCACGAAGTGCGCTTCCCAAACAGTGATTAATGAACCTTTCAAGGTATTTTTTGATGCATTTTTGGGGTAACAAACTGTGAGCCCCCAAGGTCACTCGGGGGATGAAAGGGGAAAATTAAAAGCACTTATCCACAGGTTTTTCTCTATTTTGTGACTCAAACAACCAGGAGAAGAAAAACTTTGCTGGTTATTTTTGGTTTACAGGCGAAAAATTTTAGTTTGCGGGAGTTGGAAACGTATTTTCTACCCGCAATGAGTATTTTATTTTATTCAGAATTGGTATACACTTTGATAATATTAGTTTTTTTTAAATCACCTCTCAGTCATACTTATAAAGGGCTGAATTAACCAAAATGATAAAAATGTTAATAAAAACCAACAAAACACAACAGTTTAGAAGCTTAAATAAAGATAAAACAACAAACCCCCAAATGCTAATATCCCGAACCCCCCTTTAGAGTGCAACATTGTTCTTTCCCCTTTCCAGGACCCAAATCTGCTATATAAAAATAATGGTTTCCCTGAATTTCCCTTTACTAAATTTTCCCTGCCACACTCCAACAACTCGTCAGGCCCAAACACCATTCGTTTCATTCACTCCTACGAACAAGCTCATGCACGCCCGCTGGAAGTCCAAGCCCCCCGCCCAAAACCTCCCTTTCCCCTTCCTTCCAACCCTTTTTGAGAGACCCCTAACCCCGCCTTCCTTCCCCTACAGATTTAAAAAGCTCTAATGTCATTCTACTTTTTTCCATTCTCTCTAAATAACCAAACCCCCCTCAACAAACCCTTCTTCAAACCCCCTGACTAAACTTTTATTAACTTCACACCTCCTAATTTCCACCACCGAATTTTTTGATAATATTTACACCCCACATTGCTCTTAGACAGGACTTCTCCACTCCTCCCAAAGCCCCCCTCGCTGCGCATTCACAACCCAAACTTCACACCCATAAAGAGTGTTTGGGGCTACATACTTTCTACATTCCCTTTTTTTGCCTCCATAATACGTTTTTTGTCTCCAAATACCCCAATGCACCCCTCACCTTTTTTCCCTTACAAATTTTATGATTAACCCCATCCTTATAAATCCATCCGCCACACGTCAATCCCCAATATTGAAAACATTCACTTCTTCCCTCCCTCCTCCTCCCAATTGATATCCAATTTTTTTTCCCTTTCTAAATCATTTTATACCCCTCACACCTTTCCTTTTCTATGTTCACTTTAACTTTCTACCCTTTTCACACACTCCAAACCATCCATAACCTTTGCAATTTTTTTTTTAGTCTCCCCTAAGCAAGACATCAGCAAAAGCAACTGTGCCAATTCCCCTTTTGAATTTTATTCCCCCTAATTTTTCCCCCCCCCTTCCCCCCCAAAAACCCCACATTACTTCTTTCAACCCCCTTATAATATATTAAACAACCAGGGACATTACACATCCCTGTCTAAGACCTACTTTTACCGGGAAGTAGTCTCCCTCTCTTCTACACACCCTAACCTGAGCCTCACTATCCTCATAAAAACTCTTTACAGCATTTAGTAACTTACCACCTATTCCATATACTTGCAACATCTGCCACACTGCTTCCCTATCCACTCTATCATATGCCTTTTCTAAATTCATAAATGCAATAAAAACTTCCTTACCTTTATCTAAATACTGCTCACATATATGCTTCAATGTAAACACTTGATCTACACATCCCCTACCCACTCTAAAACTTCCTTGCTCATCTGCAATCCTACATTCTGTCTTACCTCTAATTCTTTCAATTATAACCCTTCCGTACACTTTTCCTGGTATACTCAGTAAACTTATTCCTCTATAATTTTTACAACCTCTTTTGTCCCCGTTCCCTTTATATAAAGGGACTATACATGCTCTCTGCCAATTCCTAGGTACCTTCCCCTCATTCATACATTTATTAAACAAAAATACCAACCACTCCAACACTATATCCCCCCCCCCCTGCTTTTAACATTTCTGTCATGATCCCATCAGTTCCAGCTGTTCTACTTTCTTTCATTCTACATAATGCCTCACGCACCTCCCCTACACTCACATCCTGTTCTTCTTCACTCCTAAAAGATGATATACCTCCCTGGCCAGTGCATGAAATTACCGCTTCCCTTTCTTCGTCAACATTTAAAAGTTCCTCAAAATATTCTCGCCATCTACCCAAAACCTCCATCTCCCCATCTACTAACTCCCCTACTCTGTTTTTAACCGACAAATCCATTTGTTCCCTAGGCTTTCTTAACTTGTTTAACTCACTCCAATTTTTTTTCCTATTTTCATTAAAATTTCTTGACAGTGCCTCTCTCACTCTATCATCTGCTCTCCTTTTGCACTCTCTCAGCGCTCTCTTTGCCTTTCTTTTACTCTCCATATACTCTACTCTTTTTATAACACTTCTGTTTTGTAAAAACCTCTCATAAGCTAACTTTTTCTCTTTTATCACACCCTTTACTTCATCATTCCACCAATCGCTCCTCTTTCCTCCTGCACTCACTCTCCTATAACCACAAACTTCTGCCCCACATTCTAATACTGTATTTTTATAACTATTCCAACCCTCTTCAACCCCCCCCCCCAATGCTCATACTTGCACCAGCCCACCTTTCTGCCAATAGTTGCTTATATCTCACCCGAAGATTGAGACACTGATGCAGCATATGGGAATCTTTATTCAGGAAACGTTTCGCCACACAGTGGCTTCATCAGTCCAATACAAAGAGGAAGGCGTAAGGAGAGGAGGAGTATGAGGTAATCAGTCCCTCAACCTGGAGTCGATGTGTTCAGTCCATCAATCTTGTAGAATGTACAGCATAGGGCCGTAGACGTGGCTTATATACTGTAGTGAGGTGAAGTGAAGCAGGTGGAGGCGGGGTCATTGTGGTACCATCCACTAGTCGAAGTAGGTCTTCGTCCAAAGGTTGAACAAGTGTTGAAGAATTCTTTGTAACAAGATCCCATGATGCTGCAGTGTCTGACAGTTTGAGGGACTGATTACCTCATACTCCTCCTCTCCTTACGCCTTCCTCTTTGTATTGGACTGATGAAGCCACTGTGTGGCGAAACGTTTCCTGAATAAAGATTCCCATATGCTGCATAAGTGTCTCAATCTTCAACTTGTCGGTTTTTCAAACCATTCATCACAACTGTCAGACACTGCAGCATCATGGGATCTTGTTACAAAGAATTCTTCAACACTTGTTCAACCTTTGGACGAAGACCTACTTCGACTAGTGGATGGTACCACTATGACCCCGCCTCCACCTGCTTCACTTCACCTCACTACAGTATATAAGCCACGTCTACGGCCCTATGCTGTACATTCTACAAGATTGATGGACTGAACACATCGACTCCAGGTTGAGGGACTGATTACCTCATACTCCTCCTCTCCTTACGCCTTCCTCTTTGTATTGGACTGATGAAGCCACTGTATGGCGAAACGTTTCCTGAATAAAGATTCCCATATGCTGCATAAGTGTCTCAATCTTCAACTTGTCGGTTTTTCAAACCATTCATCACATCTCACCCGAACTTCCTCCTCCCTTAGTTTATACACTTTTACCTCACTCTTGCTTGTTGTTGCCATTTTCCTCTTTTCCCATCTACCTCTTACTCTAACTGTAGCTACAACTAAATAATGATCCGATATATCATTTGCCCCTCTATAAATGTGTACATCCTGGAGCCTACCCATCAACCCTTTATCCACCAATACATAATCTAACAAACTACTTTCATTACGTGCTATATCATACCTTGTATATTTATTTATCCTCTTCTTCATAAAATATGTATTACTTATTACCAAACCTCTTTCTACACAAAGTTCAATTGAAGGTTCCCCATTTTCATTTACCCCTGGCACCCCAAATTTACCTACTACTCCCTCCACAACATTTTTGCCCACTTTTGCATTGAAATCCCCAATCACCATTACTCTCACACTTGGTTCAAAACTCCCCACGCATTCACTCAACATTTCCCAAAATCTCTCTCTCTCCTCTACACTTCTCTTTTCTCCAGGTGCATACACGCTTACTATAACCCACTTTTCACATCTAACCTTATTTTACTCCACATAATCCTTGAATTAATACATTTATAGTCCCTCTTTTCCTGCCATAGCTTATCCTTCAACATTATTGCTACTCCTTCTTTAGCTCTAACTCTATTTGAAACCCCTGACCTAATCCCATTTATTCCTTTCCACTTAAACTCTCCCGCCCCCTTCAGCTTTGTTTCACTTAAAGCCAGGACATCCAGCTTCTCATTCATAACATCCACAATCATCTCTTTCTTATCATTTGCACAACATACATCCACGCACATTCAGCCTTCGCACTTTGACAATTTTCTTCTTCTTATTCTTTTTAGTAATTATTACAGGAAAAGGGGTTACTAGCCCATTGTTCCCGGCATTTTAGTTGACTTTTACAACACGCATGGCTTACGGAGGAAAGATTCTTATTCCACTTCCCCATGGATATAAAAGGAAAAGTAATAAGACCAAGAACTATTAAGATAAAATCAAAGAAAACTCAGATGAGTGTGTATAAATAAACATGTACATGTATGTGTAGTGTGACCTAAGTGTAAGTAGAAGTAGCAAGACGTACCTGTAATCTTGCATATTTATGAGACAGACAAAAGACACCAGCAATCCTACCATCATGTAAAACAATTACAGGCTTTTGTTTTACACTCACTTGGCAGGATGGTAGTACCTCCCTGGGTGGTTGCTGTCTACCAACTTGTATATATATATATATATATATATATATATATATATATATATATATATATATATATATATATTATATATTATATATAATATGTATATATATATATATATATATATATATATATATATATATATATATATATATATATATATATATATATATATATATATATATATATATATATACATAATGTCGTGCCGAATAGGTAAAACTGGCTAATTAGCATGAACTCATTTAAAATTAAACCCTTTCTAAAATTTTCTCATTCATTTAAAGATATATTTTTTTCATTGATGTTAATGCAAAAATTAATTAATTTTGTACCAATAGAACCTTAGAAAATTTACCTAACCTTGTTATAACAAGCACAATTTAATTTTGCCTAATCCAACTAAATATATTTTAGATAAGTTTACAGTAATTTAATAATAAAGAAACACAATGCTCTTCTTGCCTTATACAGCAAGAAGAGCATTGCTAGTTATGCCAGACTCGAATGTTTTACCTTTTCTCTCTGGAGGAGTTTGAATATTTTCTTATCCTACCACTCCTATATTCTATATTCTATATTCTACATGGACCTTATTTAAAGACAAAATACATTGACAAAAACACAATAGAGAGTAGAACAACATAGATAACATCTCAGAGCTGCATCTCGAATACCTCGTCCAGCTCCCCGGCGGTGGGTCGCGTACCCAGAATGCTGCAGGCATTTCCCATTTGGATCGCAACACTGAGTCTCTGAAAGAGGAAGCTGGCCGCTCTGTGATCCTTAGTTTATGTGATGAGTTTTTCACACAGCTCTTTGAGAAACTTTAGAACACACTTGCCCCATGTTCCAAGGTTCTTTGACCTTACTGTGATGAAGTTATAGCAAGGGGAAAGGCCTTCATATTTACGGATCTGGGTTTCTTTGTAGCTTGCGGCTCCACCCCCTTCAGCTTCAGATTATGGCAAGTAGGTGTCTGGCAAAATGGCGGCACAGGTGTTGTCCTAGGCAATCTGCTTACCTCCTGCCAGGGTAGCCTAGTGAGTCCAACAGGACGCTTTTGACTTCCATCAGACCTTTGTACTTGGGGCAAGGGACCGTGTTGAGACTTCTCTTTATGATGTCGTTGACCTCCTCATGTCTAACATACTTCCCTTCTGATGTATAACACATGAGACCATGAAGTCCGAAATGATCAGCCGACGCCCTGACGCAAATGCACCTGTTTCTATTTGTTTATTACTTACCTCCTTTGCTAATGACTCACATCCAAGGCGTCGAATTCCAGGTACCGAAGGTTATTGCAGGCAGGAGGATCACTGTGCTATATAAGGTCCGGGACACCCTCCCTCACCATCACTCTGGTTCCGATCATCAACCACACAACCTCTGTAAACATGGTAAGTGACTGATGTAGTTTTGTGAAGTGACTGCATTACTATACTAAATGTATGATATAATTATATTACAAGAATATTAACAGTGCTAATTTTTTCAGCGTATCCTGGCTGTGACTGTGGTGTTGGCCGTGATGGCTGGTGTTTGTTATGGTGGACTAATTGGTGGCCTTGGTGGCTATGGTGGACATGGTGGTCTTGGAGGCCTTGGTGGCCATGGCGGATATGGTGGCTACGGTGGCCTAGGTGGACACAGTGGATATGGTGGTTTAGGAGGTCTTGGAGGTTTGGGTGGTCTTGGTGGCTTGGGCGGTCTGGGAGGATTTGGCGGTGGATTTGGCAAAGAATATGGAGGAGGAGCAGGAGGATATGGATCAGGATTTGGAGGAGGATATGGAGGCGGATATGGTAAGCAAAAAATCTGTTAGTAATTTGTATCAATACATAGTAATATTTCAGTGTATAGTTATCTTGAGGAAGTAGCCACATTGTAAAGCTGGTTTTATATTTGCACAGGTGGACAAGGAGGACACACCTTCGTGCTGAGTAAGAGCCACGGTAAGACAACAACATTTGTATTATTCTTGTTTAGATCTATTACAACAACATTCTTTGTAAACATTAACATCAAAGATGTTTCACCAGTCGTTCTTATGAATCATTTGTATGTTTGCAGGAAGTGAAGGAGGATATGGTGACCTGGGCGGATTCGGTAAATTTGGAAAGGGAGGATATAATGGATTTGGTCTGGGTGGACAAGGTGGATTTGGAAAGCTTGGTTAGTATATTTTTTTATTTTGTGTAATGTTTCATTGTTAACATGATAAAAAATAAGGTGGCGGAACTAATAGGGACGACATTCTAACACCTGTTTCGTAATTTCAGGCCTCGGGAAGTAGAGTATGTGGCATCACCTTGTACTAATGAACACCAGCCTCCTCAGTTTTCTTCACAACCTCTTCAATAAAATTTGTTGAACAACAATCGTGACTCTTCATTTACATTAATTACGCATTTCCCTGTATAACAATTTAAAATAATCAATGGAAATAAGTGTGTATCGTTTTAGTGGGATATTCACTTGAGAAGTGATCCCCAGACGCATGTGGCCAGAAACAATGGTATAACCATTCAACTAGATTGAACGGTAATACAAATAAGTAGGTGACATAAGGTGCTGTAAGAATAATTGGGGAATCCTCATCCTGTGTTAGGAAAGTTTATCAGAATCACTTGGAATCCATTATCAGGCCGGAGTAACTTAAACAATAAAACCCTATAAAATAATTCATATTCTTTGTTTGAATCTCATCGAGCTCCTCAGACTTCGGAACTAAAAATGTAGCAGCTATTTCCCGTTTGTATCATCACACTAAGGTTTCACAGCCTTGTGGAAACCAGAACCACAATTGAATTGATCACAGCATGATCGCATCACGGCTAACTATTCTCATGGTTGCCCTGGTAACAAGACAGCTTTAGGTGTTGCTCTGGAGCTATACTTTTGACCTGTTAACTACAATGTTTTATGACCAACAGGGGTTTATCGTACGTCCTCAATAGGTATTACAATAATTTAAAAAGAAAATTAATGCATCAACCGTCCCAAGACAGGGTTATCCGCAAGAAGAAACACTTTCACCGTCAATCATTCAGTCACTGTTTTTGCAATAGCGTGTCGACATCACAGCTCGGATAATTCTATGAGCTGCATCAGCATCACTCCTGTTTCAGAGTGCAGGCGTTGTACTTTCTACCTCCTGGACTCAGTCCGGCAAACCGGTTTCCATGAAACCATTAATAAATGCTACCTCGCGATTGCCGTGACGCTGGTGACGTGTTACCTCCCTGATACCAAGCAACTGGCTCCTGGTACTGATGAAAAAAGCAGTCATGAGCCACAACGTTACATCCAAAAAAAAGTTAAAATTACTTTCAACACTACCACAGCATCAGTAATTAAGTTTAACTAATTAAGATTAATGACTTGGGGCTTGATAATAGACCGAAATGGACCGAAATATCGCCATAAGGTTCTTCTCTTAAGTGCGGGTTTATGGTAGTTTCTGACCACTCTACGCTGGCGGCGGAACCACTTGGATTAAAAATCTGAAAGTATTTTTAAGAAAAAAAAATGTCTTTATGATAGATTAGGGGCAATGTTAGAGACAGGTACAAGTCCATGAGGTGATTCTTGTGGATCAAGTGCCGTGTTTGGTGTGACGAGGCACCATGATACTGTGAAAAAAAGTATTTACCCGAGTTGCTTTCTCATCTCTAGAATTACTGTGTACCTGAGCTATTAAGTTTAGCAATTTTATTTGCAAAATATTGAATTTTTTCTTAGACTAACATAGCCTAAGGTGATTCACCGGGGCGGTAAAGTAAAAATAATCTTAAGTCCAATCTGCGCAATCCACACGATCTCCACAATTCTATCCAGAGATTAGATGATAAACCCAGATTTACCAGATAAACTAGTTAGATCGAATAGTTAGGCTCAATCAGACTGTACCTAACCAACCTGACCTGACCTAGCATAATATGACCAAGTCTAAGTCAAAGCCGAGCCTGTTACTGTAGGGACCTTCAGAGAACCAAAAAGAAGGAGTTAAACGAAGGTCAACATTTCGCTTTTGTCTCTAGACCGACCTTCAGAACTGGTGGCCTTGATTGTAGTAATGAACCAGTGAGGAACTAATAATGATCTGGGGTAATTCTGAAGCTCGTGTTCCTTGAGAAATTTATGAGGTATGTTTATTGCCGGAAACAACTAATTTCAAACCTTTCTTTGTAACACTGATACTGAGGGAGTTGACTTGGTGGGTTCAGCCTTTGTTTCTCCTATCTTGTAACTAAATAATCAGGAATTAATAATAATTAAATAATTTGGTAGCTAAGTAGTATTGAATATATACCTTCCCTCTTTTCCACACATTATACTCTTCTAGATTTACAGATCATAATATAACATGACATGAAATTTTATGGACTGCAGTCTTCAGTCGAACATGTGTAGGAAGACTGTAAATGTTTCAAGGATCCCTGGACTGATATATTTTTTCAGCAATGATGTGAGTGAGTTGTGTCTTGATGCTCTGGGTATCTTGATGTAAAGCGAAGTAGATGTAAATTATTCCTCGTTACAAGACGCCAGGAACATTTATTCAGCCTGAGGAGGTCAGGAAGTGGACTGACCTGGATCACGAACTAATGGCGGCAGACTGTACACAGCATAGCAAGTGGGTATAACATGGGTCACGAGGCTAGGAGGGGGTTAAACCCAGCCTCGGTTAATTAACAGGCGGGGCCAGGAGCTGAAATGACTCAGCTACTTCGAAAAGTAGTACCAAGAGTCAGGTTTGGAAGCACAACAATAGTAGTAATGATTATTACTTTGATTTATTAATGATAAAGCACGAAAACAAGTAAGGGTAATAAATAGTATGGCAAAAAGGGTCTTATCGAGCAAAAGAAGAGGATGGTAGCTCCAGTTCCGTGGATCAAGGGCCTCTCGCCATGAAGAATGGACATATTCTTACGCTCCACGAGGCACCAGTCAACGTAGTGTCTGTTGACGAGCACTGCTTGAACCACCAAACTTGTTGAAGTATTCCAGCCACACCCTGAGGAAGGTGAAGCCTTATAGCCACACCCTGAGGAAGGTGAAGCCTTATAGCCACACTCTAAGGAAGGTGAAGCCTTATAGCCACACCCTGAAGAAGGTGAAGCCTTACAGCCACACCCTGAGGAAGGCGAAGCCTGTAAGTCACACTCTGAGGCAGGTGAAGTCTACCTCAAAAAGGGTGACTTGCTCGCTGATAACAAGATTGGTCTTTCTGGTAACCTGGACACGCCAACGCCATTCCTGGTATTCAGGACCACGCCAGACCTGCTCATCAAGACCACACCACGCCTTGTCTTCAGGACCACACCACACCTGGTCGTCAGGACCACACCACACCTGGTCTTCAGGACCACACAACACCTGGTCTTCAGGACCACACCACACCTGGTCTTCAGGACCACACCACACCTGGTCTTCAGGACCACACCACACCTGGTCTTCAGGACCACACCACACCTGGTCTTCAGGACCACACCACACCTGATCTTCAGGACCACACCACACCTGGTCGTCAGGCCCACACTACACCTGGTCTTCAGGACCACACAACACCTGGTCTTCAGGACCACACCACACCTGGTCTTCAGTACCACACCACACCTAGTCTTCAGAATCACACCACACCTGGTTTTCAGGACCACACCACACATGGTCGTCAGGACCACACCACACCTGGCCTTCAGGACCACACAACACCTGGTCTTCAGGACCACACCACACCTGGTCTTCAGGACCACACTACACCTGGTCTTCAGGACCACACAAAACCTGGTGTTCAGGACCACACCACACCTGGTTTTCAGGACCACACTACACCTGGTTTTCAGGATCACACCACACCTGGTCTTCAGGCTCACACACCACCTGGTCTTCAGGACCACGCCACACCTGGTCGTCAGGACCACACCACACCTGGTCTTCAGAACCACACCACACCTGGTCTTCAGGACCATACCACACCACACCTGGTCTTCAGGACCACACCACACCTGGTCTTCAGGACCACACCACACCTGGTTTTCAGGACCACACTACACCTGGTTTTCAGGATCACACCACACCTGGTCTTCAGGCTCACACACCACCTGGTCTTCAGGACCACGCCACACATGGTCGTCAGGACCACACCACACCTGGTCTTCAGGACCACACCACACCTGGTGTTCAGGACCACACCACACCTGGTCTTCAGGACCACACCACACCTGGTCTTCAGGACCACACCACACCTAGTTTTCAGGACCACACTACACCTGGTCTTAAGGACCACACCACACCTGGTCTTCAGGACCACACCACACCTGGTCTTCAGGACCATAC